CTGTGGACTTCAACTCCCAGAATTCCCCAGGTAGCCAAGCAGGAGGGTCCAATCTTGGCCACTAAGACCTGTGGACTTCAACTCCCAGAATTCCCCAGGTAGCCAAGCAGGAGGGTCCAATCTTGGCCACTAAGACCTGTGGACTTCAACTCCCAGAATCCCCCAGCTAGCCAAGCAGGAGGGTCCAATCTTGGCCACTAAGACCTGTGGACTTCAACTCCCAGAATCCCCCAGCTAGCCAAGCAGGAGGGTCCAATCTTGGCCACTAAGACCTGTGGACTTCAACTCCCAGAATTCCCCAGCTAGCCAAGCAGGAGGGTCCAATCTTGGCCACTAAGACCTGTGGACTTCAGTTCCCAGAATTCCTCAGCCAGCCAAGCAGGAGTGTCCAACTTTGGCCACTTTTGGTGGACGTCAACTCCCAGAATTCCCCAGCCAGCATAGCTGGCTGGGGAATTCTGAAAATTGAAGTCCACAGGTCTTTTTCCCCCCCTTAAAGTGGCCAAGGTTGGACACCCCTGCTTTAAAGACTTGAACAGCAGTTAGTCCTCAGCTTGCAACTTGAGAAATGGGCCTCCCAACCCCTCCTCACACTTATGACCTTGGCCGTGTCCCTGCAGACCCATGATCAGAATTCGGAGCCCTTAGCAACTGGCCGGTTTTGGCGTCCCCCAAGTCACACGATCGTCACTTGAGACCGTCCCACTCGGCTTCTGACAGGCAAAATCAATGACTGACCCTGTGACCCACGTAGTGTCCAAAAGGATTCACTTAACGACATACATTGTAAAACCCTGGAACCCTGTTGTTCTGGCCCAAATCCCCAAGCACGACAAACCATCAGACGTGACTTCAAAAGATTCCTTTAATTTGGAATGCCGGCAGCCCCAGCAAAAAGTTTCTCTCGCAGGCTAACAAGTCCATCTGTCCGGAAGATGAATAGTTGTCTTCCACATCTATTCATCTCTACCCTCTGCCTTTTATCCCCAGAGCTAGAGTGGCAAAGGTGGTTCTTCTGTCCCAAGGACCGGCCCATAGATTTCCACTGCTCTCCTCTCCTCTGCCTTCTGCGCATCCATGCATTGGGCACTGGACCCAGCTGTTCCTCCTCTTCTTCATCAGTCACCTCCCGACCTTGGGACTGTTGTCTCTCCATCTGAGGACTGACGGACAGCCCATGCTCTGCCTCTGTCTCTCTCTCTCTGCCTCTCTCTCTGTGTCTCTCTCTGTGTGTGTGTCTCTCTCTGTGTCTCTCTCTGTATCTCCCTCTCTCTCTCTGTCTCTCTCTCTGTGTCTCTNCTTTGCAACCGATACACTCATTTATTCCTCCCGGAGGAGAGGAGATGATTCATTTCCCATTAAAGAAGTCGCTAACCCCTTTCCGTCTGCAGAGACCCCCCCCCTCTTTGACTTATCTCTCCCTGCCCAAATTCTCCCTTGTGCTGCCTATCAGATCCCCCACCCCTCCTCGGCTGGTCTTCTGAATCCTTAAAACCCTGCCCGGAGATCCAGCACGACTAGCTTTCCCCGAGAAGGACCAGATGGGATGAAGATGCTACTGAAAGATGTTGAGGACGTGTCAGTCAGTGTAAATGAGCTTGTTTGTGGGTGGGTGGGTGTGAAACGAGACCCTTGCAATCAAGAATGGCCCAGAGAATCTCCCTTGCCTTTTTTGCACCCCAAATATGGACAGCGATTGCTGCTTCCCCCCACTCCAAATCTATATTTTTCTCCCACCTACCTCCAGGTCTGCCACCTTGAGTTATTTGTAATAACAATAAAGGCGGCATGCCAATGAATAAATACCCAAATAAATAAATAAATAAACAGGTCTTTTTCTCCCAAAGCAGCTGCTAACTATGCTCGCATACAGCCGATACCAGGGGCGAGAAAAGGGGACCAGAAAGGCAGAATTTAATGAGCCCCAACTGAGAGCCTCTTGCTAACAGAAGTACAAACACTTTGCATTAAGTTCTTTCAAAGTGCTTATCTCAGCCGGTAAATGAGATGGAAAATGTGAAGCTGAATAGCCTTTTTTTTTTCCATTTCCAGAATTACCACCGAGTACCGCAATTTATCGATTAGCAAGCTCTTTTGTTTCCCCTTAATTTTTGTAGGTATTCTGGCTAGGGGGAATCTTAAGGAATGAGTTACTTTTCCAGCCTTCCTGTACCCCGGATTCCCCCCCCCGCCCCAATTCGTTCCTTTTAATTATCTCCAGCTCAACCGTTTTGGCCTCAATTCCTTTGCTTTAAGTTCCCCGCGCGAGTTCCTTCAGCTTCGTTTTTTCCTCAATCAAGGACGGATTGATTCCCTTGCAGCAAAGGGACTGCGGGGCGTATTGGGGGTGGGGGCTGCCTTTTTTTAAAAAAACAGAAGGTGTGGAGGGGGGGAGCCCAGAAATTATTAAATCGATCTAGCATCGGAAACCAGGAAGGGGACATACACCAGAGGTGGGTTCCTACCGGTTCGCACCGGTTCAATAGAACCGGCTTGTCAAATCTTTTTTTCCCCCCCTTAATATGTTTTTTTTGGTCATTTAATTAATTTATTTTTTTAATTATTTTAATTTTATCAATTTCATATATACATTCACAATTATATGATCTCATAACTGTTATTAATAATATGCATTTATAACAATTTNGAGTTGGCCATGGGGAGTTGACCATTGAGAGTTGGCTGTAGGGAGTTGACCATTGGGAGTTGTAGCCATGGGGAGTTGACCATGGAGAGTTGGTCATTGGGAGTTGTGGCCATTGAGAGTTGGCCGTGGGGAGTTGGAAGTTGTGGCCATTGAGAGTTGGCCAAGGGGAGTTGGCCATTGGGAGTTGTAGCCATGGGGAGTTGACCATGGGGAGTTGACTGTAGGGAGTTGGCCATGGGGAGTTGGCCATGCTGAATTGTCATAGACTGTCTCCCTCCTGGCTCTCCCCTGAAGGACCCCCCAAAACAGCCCAGCTCCTACCTCCACCTCGGGCAGCTCCATGTCCCCCACCTCGTAGCAGACGGTGTGAATATCCGTCTCGAGGGCGATCTTGCGTGGCAGTTCGCCTGCCCCTTTGCCCTCCCCGAAGGCAGTTTCGATATAATCTTTCTTCTTCCAGTTTTGGGGGTTGCTGCATTTCCACAGCTCCGGGTAGAGCTTCGATTCGGGAAGGTTGGAGGAGAGGACGGTGGTCCTGGACAGGCTGTGGGGATTCAGGAGCTGGTTGGCTAGAAGACCAGTGCTGGGGGAGAGCCAGGAGAGATTGGACGGCACGTGGTGGGACAGCAGTCCAGAACGGTCGTGGGAGCTTGCCCAGTTGAGCATCCCCCCAGGGAGGAGAGTTTTGCTAGTGGGGTTTCCCAGCAGCGGATGTTGTAGTTCATGGATGTTCTCCATTGTGTGTGGGAAATTCTGGATTCTTCTTGCTTAAGAGGTCCTCACTCTTCGGTTACCTGGAAAAGCAATTGGAAACAGACATCCGTTGGCTAACCTTTCCCCACCTGGCACCCTCTGGAAGCACTGGGACTGCATCTCCCAGAATTCCTAGCCAGTACTGACTTATTTCATTTATGTAAGAGAGCCAGTTTGATGTAATGATTAAGGCACTGGCCTAGAAACCAGGAGACAGTGAGTTCCAGTCCTGCTTTAGGCATGAAAGCCAGCTGGGTGACTTTGGGTCAATCACCAGGAGATGGTGAGTTCTAGTTCCATCTTGGGCATGAAAGGTGGATAGGTGACTTTGGGTCAATCACCAGGAGATGGTGAGTTCTAGTTCCATCTTGGGCATGAAAGGTGGATAGGTGACTTTGGGTCAATCACCAGGAGATGGTGAGTTCTAGTTCCATCTTGGGCATGAAAGCCAGCTGGGTGACCTTGGGTCAATCACCAGGAGATGGTGAGTTCTAGTTCCATCTTGGGCATGAAAGCCAGCTGGGTGACCTTGGGTCAATCACCAGGAGATGGTGAGTTCTAGTTCCATCTTGGGCATGAAAGGTGAATAGGTGACTTTGGGTCAATCACCAGGAGATGCTGAGTTCTAGTCCCACCTTAGCCACAAAAACCAGCTGGGCGACTTTGGACACAAGTCCCTCAATCCAACTTAAAGTGATTTTTGGGGGGTAAAATAGGAGGAAAGATTACTAGGCGTATTCAACCTCTTGAATGATTTAGAAAGTAATAAAGGTGGTGTAAACATCAAATCGATTCATGTAGCAGGAATTCTGCAAGTCGCAGCCAGCAGGGAGTTCTGGGAATTATAGCTTTTTAGATTGTGGAAGGCCACTTTCTGAGACCCACATGTGTCAAGTGGGGGTTTTTTTGCAACCTTTCCAAAGGGCCAATAGGCTCCGTTTGCAACGCATAGCCATAAATCAGGGGT